GGCTGAATCACGTCGCGTAGCATGCCTTCGGTCCGGAATCATCCAACTCCACCAAATCCTTGATGTGCTGGAACATGTCGTTGTTGACCGATTGGAGGATGAGGTCGTACAGCACCGCGCTCTTCTCAATCCACCGATCGCGGGTATCTCCTTCCCCCGGCATCTTCTCCTCTCCCATTGCAATTTTCAGCAGCTTGTAGCGCTTGAAGGCGCTCCGCATCCGCCCGCTCCATTCCTCATAGTTGGAGCCATCCAAAGCTTCAATCTTGGATGGTGGCGGCTCACTCCTCTTCTCAGCTGCATCTCCACTCCCTTGATTCATCTCCTCTGCTCCCAATCAGAGGTTTCAGCTCCCCCTTTTGCTGGTCACAATGTAGATCCACACAATCTTCACAAGTGTCAGCGCCAACGAAATTTCGGCAGAGTTTCCCCTTAGCGGAAGTCACATCCAACCTCCAGAACTCCACTTAGGCACGCCCACAGGCCATGGTGGGTCTAGGAGGGTCTTCACACTTCAGTAGACTCCCCAAAAGGTCCTTAATCAGCTCTGATACCACTTGTTAGAGATTAAGGACGGAGTCTATGAAGATTAGGGGCTGAAATATCTCAAAATCGTCAACTACAATTCTGGACAGAAAAGTCGTCGTCACAAGAAACGTCGTCGACGAAAGGTCCACAGTTAGAATTCGTTCAAACTCGAGTATGTTGTAGCCCTTGACCGTGGCTAGCTTTCCCAATTTGAATAGTATCAAAATATGGAGTATAACTCGAGTTATGAACTTCGGCGCACTAGGGGGTATGCTGCCATAGAAAACGTAACTCAATCACAATGATCTCACAAGTTCACACAAGAGAATTGAAGTAGCACTAAACCAGGTGGAAGGGATGAGGAGGACGAGAGGGAAGGTCCCAAGGAGTCCCCAACCAAAGGAAACTCCATGCCACACAATTCCCTTCCCCATAGGCAACCCAACTTTGACCTTTGTCACTATCCCAACCTCCACAATCCACCTCAACCCAACTTGGCCACACTTGCCAACCTGGTTTGGTTTCTCCCAACCATTTGGCAGCAACTACAGTAGAAAAGACGAATTTCCCAACCCCCAAAAGTCTGTACCCCATATTGAGTCAACCCCACAACTTCCCATAGTCACCACAACCAAATATCAAAAGCATACGAACTCCAACGTTCGTAACTTTCTTGTTCGTGCTCCGATTGAAGCGATACTTGGTTCCTCGGAAAGCTCTTGAGCAGAGGAGTCACTTCAGATATCTGCTCAAGCCAAATAACATTCACACACACACTCAGAAAAACCAAACCGCACAAAACACAAATTCTTGCACACACTCACAACACGCATGCAACGCACGAACATATGATGGGAGGCAGACAGACGTGAATGCGAATGGTAGCATCACTCAACAGATTACTCTGTCCGCGTGGACTCCGGACGACATTGAGTCTACATGCTTCAAGGCTATCACTGTTACAGGCCACGTCAACAGGGGTGCGCAGCTGTACGCCGTTTATTTAGCGAGTTGACAGCCGACACCGACGAAAGCGACATCAACAACTTGTGTGCAGCGGTACCGTCTGAGCTGGCGCAGCTGATTCGGCAATATCCCGAGATTTTTCTGTATGACCTACCACCTGCAATACCACCCGAACGCCCCGAGGACCAGAGAATCACCCTCGAACCCGGGGGGCAACCGAATGTTCGAACACAGTGGCGACTGACTCAGCCCGAACTCGCGGAGCTTCGAAGTCAACAAGACTTACAGTTGGAGAAGGGCTTCATCAGACCCAGTACTTTGCCCTTTGTCGCGCCAATCCTGTTCACTCCGAAAAAGGACAGTGCCATTCGGATGTGCATAAACTATCGCGCCCTCCACCGAGTAGCAATCAAGTCTCGTTATCTCATCCCACGCACCGACGACCTCCTTAACAAACTTCACGGCGCTCGTTAGTTCTCGAAGATTGACCTACGCGGCAGTTACCACCAGATCAGGGTCTTCGCTGATGAATTGTCACAAGACCGCCTTCCGAACCCGCTACGGCACTTACGAGTTCACCGTGATGCCATTCGGCCTCACGAACACGCCATCCACGTTCCAACTCACCATGAACAGGGTGTTCCGGGATCTACTCGACAAATGCGTCATCGTCTACTTGGACGATATTTTATTTTTTAGATGGACGCGCGAGCAACACCTTTGCGATCTCGACGCAGTGTTTAAACAGCTCCAGGACAACCGGCTTGTCACGAAAGGCTCTTAGGTGTGAGTTTTTTTAGCAGGAGTTGGAGTTTTTGGGACACGTCATTTCACACGACGGCATCAGCATCAACCCGAAGAAAGTAAAAACCATCCAAAAGTGGAAGGCCATGACTGATGTCTCAACCCTTCATAGATTTTTTGGGGTTTGTGAATTATGTTCGGCAGTTTATCCCAAATATGGCGGGGATAACCGGCCCGCTGACCAACCTGCTGCACAAGGATAGGAACTTCGTGTGGGGGGAGGAAGCTGAGGCGGCTTTTCAAGAGCTGAAGCAGTTGCTGGTGTCCCCTCCAGTTCTTTGCATTGCCGTCCCATCTCGACCGTTCGAAGTCGTCACTGGCCGCCGTGCTTCTCCAAGATTTCGGCAACGGTTTACAACCGATTGCCTACGAGTCACGCAAATTGCAGGCAGCCGAGCACAACTACCTGATTCGCGACAAGGAATTGCTTGCCATCATCCACGCATTCAAGCTCCGGCGCTGCTACTTGACTGGCGCCGACGTCTGTGCTAACGGACCACAAGGGCGCGCAACCCAACCTTAACCCGCGACAAATCAGGTGGCTTGACTACATGGAGTCGCATTTTCACTATCGCGTCACCTACAAATAGGGCGTGAATAACATCGCCAACGCCCTGACCCGCCCGACAATTCAAACCGCTGCATTACTAATCACCCACTTTAACCTGATCTTTTCGGAGCTATTCACCCACGGCTACGAGACGGACCCGTTCTTCACGATGGACAATCACCTCCAGGCGACGCTGCAGTATAGCAAACTACACGCATCCTAGTCAGAGTCACTGCCGCTATCTTCATCAGTGGCATCTTCACTTTCTGATTGTGGCACAGGAACTTTCCCTTTGTCTTTACGGTTTAGCCAGGGGTACTCAGCGTTCCGTCTTGTTGCTTCTGCTGCTAGGGCTGCTTCTCGAGCTGCAGTTTCTGTAGCTGCCAATGCTGCTGCTGCCGATGCTTATGCAACAGATCTCTTCTTCGCACGCTTGCTCTGTCTCTCCTCGGACGCCATCAGCACATCGTTGGCAGGCCTGCACTTCTTGGAGGCATGCCACCTCTTCACTGAGTCCGGCCACTCCAGGTCATAGCTCAGGAGCGAGATGGTCATCAGCTCGCTGAGATTTTCATCGCACGGGTTCCCGCGAATCCAGCTTTTGATCACGTTCTGCCGCAAGATGCCGCGCTCACACTCCACGGTGCTAGGCAGGAGCACAGCTACGGCGATCCACAAGTGCACGAGCTTTGGGTAGATTGTAGTCCAGTCGGTAGAGGAAAGCATGAGCTTGAGCCTGTTAGCGAACCCGACATCCTCCTGGTGGGTAGCCATGATGGTCGAGAAGCTTGCGAGCTCCCTCTACGCTCTAGCCCAGTTGCTACCTGTGGTTGGGTTGCACATACAAGAGGGAGTGTTAGGAGAATGTTAGTAACGGGATGTACAGTATAGAATGCATACAACAATAAACACAACAAAGGCATACACAGGCGTCACATGCTTAACGCACCTGGCAGGGTGCCCGGGTCTTCCGGTTTCTTCTTGAACATGTTGCGCAGAGACAGCAGCCATTGCGCCAACCGGCATTCATGTTTTACCTGGGGTTTGAAATATGATCCCTGCTTGAACAGCTTCGCTTCGTTGAGCATGGCAAGGTCCTTCAGGTGGTAGTCGAGCCTCCCAATCAATGTGGTAACGAACCCGCGCGCCAGCTCCAAACAGACTCGGTTGTCCGCGCTGCTCTTCTGTCGTTGTGGTCCTCGTGAATTTGGTAGCGATGTGTTGTCGGGGTACCGTCGGATGTGTTATGTGATGCTATCATTTGCATTCAACTCTGTCTGCCTCCCATCATATGTCCGTGCGTTGCATGCGTGGTGTGTGCGTGCGTAAGAATTTGTGTTTGGCACGGTTTGGATTTTCTGAGTGTGTGTGAATGTTATTTTGTTTAAGTAGAAATCTAAAATGACTTCTCTGCTCATGAGCTTTTCGACGAACCAAGGATCGCTTCAGTCGGAGCTCGAATGAGAAAGTATGAACCGTTGAAGTTTGTATGCTTTTAATATTTGGTTGAGGTGACTACGGGAATTTGTGGGGTGAATCTCTATGGAGTATAGACTTTTGGGGGTTGGAGAAATTCGTCACTCTACTGTGGATGACGCAAAATGGTTGGGAGAATCCAAACCAGGTTGGCAAGTGTGGCCAACTTGGGTGGGGTGGATTTGGGAGGTTGGGAAAATGACAGGAATCAAAGTTGGGTTCTTATAGGGAGGGTGTTACAAGGGGTTTTACTGTTCATCCTGAACAGTACTTCCCAACCTTATCATCATCTTATCATCTTGGATTTCCTAGTGCCACGTGGCACTCTAGTTTCTTGCCTTCTACTTTCTAGTCCCACAAAGTACTTTCCAACTATCGCTCTTGCATGCTATGTAATGCTTGCTTGTTTTCACCAATATCAACCAATTCTCATTCAACAATTACTCATTTACTTCTTCGCCTATTACGTTAATACTTCTTTCGCCAAAGTCTTTCGCCGCATTTCAACCTCGATATACTCAACCCCGCTATTCTTTAGCGGATTTAGGCCAAGGGGCCTAACACTTGGTATCAGAGCCTTCGCGGGGAGCGACTTCCACGAGCGACCGTCGACGACAAGTTTACGACGTCATCATCCCGCGGTGTCGACTTGCAGACTTGGAGTCGTCAAGCCGACATGGATGAAACCATGACCGCTCTCCTCAACAACATGGGCAACACACTTGCTCTACTCATGCGCCAACTCGAAACGTTGATGCTAGAAAATTGTCAGGTACGGGCTGAAATGCAACAGCTTCGTGAATTCGCGTCTATTCCTCTTGGTCATGACGCACCATCTCCTGCACCCAACACGTCCACTAGTGCGGAAGCGCTGCCGGGACGTCGAAGCGCGCTCAAGCCGCAGAAGCCCGAGCCGTTCGACCCAAGCCAGGAGTTGACGCTGGGTCGCATTGATGCGAGGCTGGGACCGCTGGAGGGGGTGGTGGTCGACTCGATGGAAGGCGCTCAGAAGAAGCTGACCGACAAGGTTTCGCGGAAGATCGACAACATGTTGACTGCAGTCTCCGCCACAGCAGAGCGGGCCATCACCACCAGCGGGGTCACCAACGCCTTGCACACGCTCATCACTCTTGTTTCCGGTAGTCCGCTGCCGCGCACGGACCCGGGAGAAATGCACGCGATGGATACAGCCAAACCCGGAGATACGGAGAATGGGAAGCGGGTCGCGGGGGCAAAGGCGGATAATCAATGGGGGGTGAAGAGGCAGAAAGGACCTCAGACCGCGACCGCTGTGGACACGCCGAGTGTGCAGGATATGCTGAAGCAGAAGTGGGGAGCTCGTGGGCGGGGTGCAGGGCAGCCTGCTCCACCGGGTTCTTGCTCGCGCTATATCCCCGCAGAAGATGCAGCGACGAAACCACCAGCCCGTGCACAGGCACACGCGATGGTGACCGCGGGAAAGGGCAAAGGGAAGCAGGAGGAGGAGCCGGCCACAACAGATAAGGGCAAAGGGAAGCATGAGGTTCAGCACGCGGCGGCGGATGCCAAGCAATCCGCGATCGCACCCGCACCTGCGGCGGCAACGATAGGATAGCCTGGCCCCAGCGCGAGCGCTTCAGCAGTGCCGAGTGTGGCCGCAGTCGAGCCCAAGACAAAGAAACGCGGCAGGATGCACGCAAGCCGCCGCCTCCACCTGTATTGACCATCGACGAAAACGATGCGGACGAAGAGCTGGAGGATCTCGTGATGATGTGGGTTGGGCCGGCAGACAACAGAGGTGAAAAGGGAGGCGAAACCGCGGTCGAGGTTTATAACGGAGGGGAAAATGCGGGCGTGCTAGGTGGCGAAACCGGAGGCATGTCCGGAGGCGAAACGGGAGGAAAGGGCGTCACGGGCACTAAGCGCAAGGGCTGTGGTATCCGCGATCTGCCCAGGGGTGGACCAGGCAAGGTTTCAGAACCGTGGTTGGGGGGGAAAAGGCGTTGGCTTGGGAACGGCAACCTCGTGGACCTGTAGTATCTCACCGCGGATGCCATACGACAAGAAGGTGGACCCCGGTCTTCACCTCAGCAACCAGCAGGTCCGGGCGTGGGCTGAGGACCTGTCCGCGCCCGCGCAATTACATACCGGCCTTCTCATCATAATGCACCTCCGCAACCTGATGATCAGCAAGGACAGGTGAGCTCTCGCTAGACGCTGTATCAAACCCCCTAGGCACTTTTGTACCACGTTTGTGTGTTTTAACGCGAATGGAGTGTTGGCCCCACCCTCGCTTGGGCGATGCCGACGTCCTGGTCAGATGTACGGGAGAAGCAGCCGACCGTTCGCAATGAGGGAGCTGCTCGACGAGCTGCAGAGGATTGTTGCGATGTTGCGACCAGGGATGCTCGACGGCCTTCTTCTGCGGGGCAGGTTGACAGGGTGGTTGTCGACCTGCACAAGACAGTCGTGGGGCTGGAGCTGTCGACCAGGGGAGCTCGACGGCTGCAGCAGACCGAGCTAGTCGACGGATGAGCCGTAGATCAGGAGGGGCAGCTGTCGAGGACCGGAGCTTGACGGGTGCAGCTGATCGTGCTGATCGACGGGACTGTTGACCAGTGTAGTTCGAAGGGGAGGTGGACGGAGCAGTCCGTCGACCTGCGTAGGACATGTGAGCGGCAGTCGACGAGGGGAGCTCGGCGACAGCAGCTGACAGTGCTGGTCGACGGAGGGGTCCGTCGACCAAGGTGGTCTCCTACGGACGCAGTGGTCGACGAGGGAAGGTCGACCAGGTAACCTGCTTGGCGAGTTCTGGGGAAGAACGCGAACGTCGTCGAGGTCGCGATGGCGAAGGCGACTTCGGGCTGGTATCCCGAAGTTGATGTGGCTCGTCCGGCGCAGACCAGGGCCAATGGATGCACAACGGTGCAAGTCAGGCCAATCGTCTGCGCGCACCTGCGGACATGCGCACTGACGGGTACAACGCTAGACAGCCGTTCTGCTGCAGTGCTGGCTCGCTGTCGACTTGCTGTGTTTGCAGGCCGCGTTTCTGCAGTGCTGGTGCGACTCCTCTACGCAACGCTGGCAGGCGGTCGACCATGCTGTGCTGGCGGTCGACCAGGCCAGCTGCAGAGTTGCTAGGTGCCTGATGTAGTTATTCTTGTCATTTGTCATTGCTATCATTTCGCAATCCCAACTTTGCTAGTGGAAACACTTGCCGATTTCTCCCATGAATGCGCAAGTGCTAAGGAACTAGGCAAAGCTACGATCACTCCTAGAGTTCATGCCAACACTCCGTAGTGTAGCTCACGACCATTGTAGAGTGAATCTCCGCATGGTGCGGTGAGCGTGAACGGCCCCGCATATTACCTTCAGATAGGAGCCGACTTTTGCACCTACTAAGTTGTTCGTAGGCCGGCAGCCGCGTTCGTCACCATGGTTAACCTTGTCGTAGAAGCGGGCGTAGCGGACACCTTGGAGGCACGTTTTGGCTGATGCGCGGAAACGCATTGAGAATGGCGAGCACAGGAACGTCCCCCTGGCAATCGTCGAGTTTGGCATCCGTGCGCAGTGGGCGACGGAGCACCCTTCCCGTCCTGCATCTCCTCGGCCGGTACGAAACGAAGTTGGCGTTGACAACGAGGTTGACGGTGGTGCACGAGTCAGCGGCAGCGATGGCATGAAAAACAGAGGGGTGATTAAGGTCGACGGTGGCGTCGACGGGAGTCAGGCGCGACTGCAGCGGTCGACGGCAGCCGCAGGCAGCTTGTGGGTCGAAGTCGATGGTTGATGTCGCTCTCCTCTACGAAGCGGGGGAGGGCTCTCGGCAACGACGGGCGGGATCGCACCGGCGTATGGCTACTTCAAGTTTTCGCCGGACAAAATCACCGTCACACCGCTGCAAGGTCGATGGGATCTCATCACCTTAAGGGAGTCGATAGAACCACAGCTGGAGGTCGGCAGGCTGAAGGGCTTCCACCTAGATTAGATAGCTGCCTCGATCTAGTCACGATTCTTTGTGACCGCGTTCGCGTTCGTGTTGCCTGCAGTAGTACCGCTACAAGCCCCGAACTCCTTCCCATGTTCGCGTTAACTTGTTCCTTATCGTTACCCCGCCTGTCTGATCGTGCTCACAGGGCGGGCCCGTCATGGCTTGCGAGCTGAAGGCGCTGAGAACCGGTTCGAAGGAAGCTGCGTCTTATTCAGCTATAATCTCTATTGCGGGCGCCACCGTGGAGCTTGCCCCCGACCAGTGGAGGTGCCTTACCGATGATAAGCATCTGTTCACGGCACGCATTTTCGACTTTGCCACCTGGTGAGATCTTGTCAAACCCACTCGTTCATCCCGTGTGCACACGTAGTATCTGGTTGCGATGTGTCCGCATCCTACTGTAGTTACTACTTGGCAGTGCCTGTCACAAGTATGCTTGCGGTGGCCATGTAGTCTAACAACTTGACCCGTTCCCGCATAGCGCGCTTGTCCGGAGGTCTCTGTCTCGGGAATTGCAGGAGTGCATCAAGATCGTCACGACCAACGTTGTCGCTGACATAGTCGCGGGTCGTGATGACGCGGTCGACGCTTTTGCCGGTGTGATGGAGTGCAGTATGGTTGCCTTCTGCATCTGGTCCGAGTGAGTATCTATTTGTCGTTTGATCAAGGCATGCTTTTCATTACAGGGATTACTAAGACGGTCATCCATGCACCGTGCAGAAACTTTCACCGCGGCGGAAACGTTTGTCTAGTAATTAGTGCGGCCAGGTTTCTGTTGTTAACCATGTTCTGTTGCAGTGCCTTATTCACGGTGTACGTTTGTTCCTGTGGCTATCTCTATACGAATGTGCAGGTGGTTTCAGAGTCGTGTTCACGCGTCATTCGCGCATGACTCTATTCAATGCACCAGGTCCCGCCAGCTTGGGGATCGTACTCGTCTGCTTGATCTAGTATGTGCTAGCATCGCATGCGTTCGTCATGACCGCGACCATAATTACGATTGCTAACATGCAACACGTTATTTTTTCAAGACGCGGCTTCATGAAAGGTCTCTTGCGGCAACCTCGCCTGCTTGTTCGCGTCGGACAAAATCGTAAACGAGCTTGACGAGGTGGTAGTCTAAGGATTCAGGCTGCAATTCTTGAAGCCTTTCGCTAAGAGTCTGAGTGCACTGCGTCAGGAGGCGTACCGCTCCGCAGAGGAGCTCGCGTTCAACTTGAGTGTGGAGATGACGCTTCCCAAGCACGGCGGTGATGCTCACGGTAATGAAGCGGGGATGGTGCCGGATCAGGGTGAGGGTTCGCAGATTGCCAATCATGGCGTATTCGCCCTCACCGGAGGGGCTGGATTCGCGAACCGCGGTGGTTCACAGGAGGGGATTGAGGAGCACCCGGCACCTAGGCCTGACGGCGATGAGGACGATGGTGCAGAGGATACTGCGAGTAAAGTCGAGGGCCATGGTAAGTCACAGGATGAGGGTGATCGCACTGGAAGGCGTGAGATGTCTACCGCGGTGGCTGGGCGTCGTGGTCGCGGTAGGGTCGGGGTCGAGGACGAGTCAACTGATGTGGTCGAGGTTCAGGGGGGGGTTGCGAAGGGCAAACACGACGGGGATGTGGAGCTTGACGAGTCGGAAGAGGAGGAGGCGGAGGCTCACGTTGTTGCGGCTGTAGCTGCCAAGAGGCCCACAACCTCCGAGAAAAGCATTAGGTGGCTCGCACAGCATTTGGCCCCCGAAACAGGTAGCACGGGCCCCTCAGGTGAGGTTGGGGGCAAGAGTCCAGTGGTCGGCCCGCAGAATTATGACGCTCTAGCCGCGCTGCCACCAACGAAGATGGCAGCCGAGATTCAGAAACTCGACTGCAAGGTGGAATCACAGGCGCGACAGATAGAACAGCTGAAGAAGCGTCTGGAGTCTTGTGAAGGTGGTCTCGTGGTCATAAGCTACGAGGAGCTTGCCTCAGCCGTTGGGAAGGTGCAGCGTCAATCGGTGAACGCGGCGCTAATATTAGTAACGGCAGCCCTTTGCGACCAACGGAACGAGGAGGAGTTGACGCTGGGTCGCATTGATGCGAGGCTGGGACCGCTGGAGGGGGTGGTGGTCGACTCGATGGAAGGCGCTCAGAAGAAGCTACCGACAAGGTTTCGCGGAAGATCGACAACATGTTGACCGCAGTCTCCGCCATAGCAGAGCGGGCCATCACCACCAGCGGGGTCACCAACGCCTTGCACACGCTCATCACTCTTGTTTCCGGTAGTCCGCCGCCGCGCACGGACCCGGAAGAAATGCACGCGATGGAGACAGCCAAACCCGGAGATACGGAGAATGGGAAGCGGGTCGCGGGGGCGAAGGCGGATAATCAACGGGGGGCGAAGAGGCAGAAAGGACCTCAGACCGCGACCGCTGTGCACACGCTGAGTGTGCAGGATATGCCGAAGCAGAAGTGGGGAGCCGGTGGGCGGGGTGCAGGGCAGCCTGCTCCACCGGGTTCTTGCTCGCGCTATATCCCCGCAGAAGATGCAGCGACGAAACCACCAGCCCGTGCACAGGCACACGCGATGGTGACCGCGGGAAAGGGCAAAGGGAAGCAGGAGGAGGAGCCGGCCACAACAGATAAGGGCAAAGGGAAGCATGAGGTTCAGCACGCGGCGGCGGATGCCAAGCATTCCGCGATCGCACCCGCACCTGCGGCGGCAACGATAGGATAGCCTGGCCCCAGCGCGAGCGCTTCAGCAGTGCCGAGTGTGGCCGCAGTCGAGCCCAAGACAGAGAAACGCGGCAGGATGCACGCAAGCCGCCGCCTCCACCTGTATTGACCATCGACGAAAACGATGCGGACGAAGAGCTGGAGGATCTCGTGATGATGTGGGTTGGGCCGGCAGACAACAGAGGTGAAAAGGGAGGCGAAACCGCGGTCGAGGTTTATAGCGGAGGGGAAACTGCGGGCGTGCCAGGTGGCGAAACCGGAGGCATGACCGGAGGCGAAACGGGAGGAAAGGGCGTCACGGGCACTAAGCGCAGGGGCTGTGGTATCCGTGGTCTGCCCAGGGGTGGACCAGGCAAGGTTTCAGAACCGTGGTTGGGGGGGGAAAGGCGTTGGCTGGGGAACGGCAACCTCGCGGACCTGTAGTATCTCACCGCGGATGCCATACGACAAGAAGGTGGACCCCGGTCTTCACCTCAGCAACCAGCAGGTCCGGGCGTGGGCTGAGGACCTGTCCGCGCCCGTGCAGTTACATACCGGCCTTCTCATCATAATGCACCTCCGCAACCTGACGATCAGCAAGGACAGGTGAGCTCTCGCTAGACGCTGTATCAAACCCCTAGGCACTTTTGTACCACGTTTGTGTGTGTTAACGCGAATGGAGTGTTGGCCCCACCCTCGCTTGGGCGATGCCGACGTCCTGTTCAGATGTACGGGAGAAGCAGCCGACCGTTCGCAATGAGAGAGCTGCTCGACGAGCTGCAGAGGATTGTTGCGATGTTGCGACCAGGGATGCTCGACGGCCTTCTTCTGCGGGGCAGGTTGACAGGGTGGTTGTCGACCTGCACAAGACAGTCTTGGGGCTGGAGCTGTCAACCAGGGGAGCTCGACGGCTGCAGTAGACCGAGCTGGTCGACGGATGGGCCGTAGATCAGGAGGGGCAGATGTCGAGGACCGGAGCTTGACGGGTGCAGCTGATTGTGCTGATCGACGGGACTGTCGACCAGTGTAGTTCGAGGGGGAGGTGGACGGAGCAGTCCGTCGACCTGCGTAGGACATGTGAGCGGCAGTCGACGAAGGGAGCTCGGCGACAGCAGCTGACAGTGCTGGTCGACGGAGGGGTCCGTCGACCAAGGTGGTCTCCTACGGACGCAGTGGTTGACGAGGGAAGGTCGACCAGGTAACCTGCTCGGCGAGTTCTGGGGAAGATTGCGAACGTCGTCGAGGTCGCGATGGCGAAGGCGACTTCGGGCTGGTATCCCGAAGTTGATGTGGCTCGTCAGGCGCAGACCAAGGCCAACGGATGCACAATGGTGCAAGTCAGGCCAATCGTCTGCGCGCACCTGCAGACATGCGCACTGACGGGTGCAACGCTAGACAGCCGTTCTGCTGCAGTGCTGGCTCGCCGTCGACTTGCTGTGTTTGCAGGTCGCGTTTCTGCAGTGCTGGTGCGACTCCTCTACGCCACTACAGTTACTGGACGAGGACCCTGCACCACCGGCAAGATGTGTCTTCCCAGTGAGGTACTCCTTAGCGAGTACAACTTTGTTAGGTTTCCTTCTTGTATCCATTCCCAACCCTAATACATCAATTCCGTTGCTAGCTACTCTTAAGAGGAGAGGACTTTTTTCGAAAGGCACAACAAGAATGAGAACACCAACGGGTAGACCCCCCACACAGGGTCTCAGTTTCCCTCAGAAAAGGCAAGGTACTGCCACCTTGCAGAGGCGGCCACCTTTCCAGAAGCTGCCAACGTGCTGCCACGCCACGCTGCCAGGTTGCTGCTTTGCTGGGCAACATTGCCACCCTTGTTATGATGAGTGGTCACGTGATGTGAAGTGACGGCGGAGGTCGAAATTGTCGCCCAAGTAACATCATTTGCTCACTTGTAACACCTCACGGCCAGAAACCGCTTAAATTCATAAAAAAATAAACATTCTTGTTTATAAGATTTATAAGACACCCCGGGGGTTCCGTTTACAAGATAAACATCAATTTTTCGAGGCGATGTTGGATAAGACCCATATGTCTTATATCCGGGCGATGACGGTATAACATTTGACAGGTCTGTGAACCAGGCGCACGAGAGATGGGAGAACAAGGGAGAAGATGTTAGAACCGGGGGAAAAAGGGAGAAGGACAGTCAGGCAAGCACCAGCAGCGGATGCTGGCAAATATATCGATAATAAGGAAAGAGCAGCAAGAAAGGAACATACTTCTTTCAAGGGCCTGCAGCAAGCCAAAACAGCAGCAGACGAAGCTTCCTAAGATACCACTCATCGCTGAGGCTGATGAGGTGCAGCGGCCTCCGTATGATTTTCATAAGACCCTAGGGTCTTTAATGGTGTGATTACAGCAAGTGGTACTCTCATACGGTCCGTCTTCTTCAATTTAAAGCGATGCCATTTGCTGCTCGAAGACAAGGGCTATTCTTGGATGAAAAAACAGGATTTGAGGTAGTTATGTGACTTCGTCCGACGTTCATATAAAACATCCCAAATGGACATGGGTCAAGTGGACGGTGTTCTATTGTACCCGATACAAAGGATGTCAGAAATGAAGATAAGTTTCTTAACAGATCAATGATGAATACAAGTTCAGTAAATGGGAAAAAATGCTTTACAAAGGAAAACAGAATCAACAGCGAAAAGGGAAAAAAAGAGTGCATTCACACGTGCGATGCGAAAGTTTACTACCTGCTTCTCCAACTTGCCTGTTCCCACCAAACCCCTATCCCACTAACAAGTATTCTAGGCTGCTTAGAGTAGTCTACCACCCAACTGAAGAGTTGAACACAGAAACAAAAGCAAAAGTGGTAGGCTGCAACAAGGCTTTCTAAGGAGTGCAGAGGTAGCCAATGCAGTTGGAGACGGCAGGTGCCGCACACTTGAGCCCCTGGCAGCGCCAGTCAGTGGGGCAGGCAATGGGTGCAGCTGTAGCACACACAAGGTCTGTGCACCAGGGACACGGGGGAACAGAGAACAAGGGAGAATATGTTAGAACAAGCGGGAAAACAGAGGAGGACAGTCAGGCTATTAGCAGCACCAAATGCTGGCAATGGCCAGTAGAATAGGGAAAAAGCAACACGAATTCAACACTGTTTCTTGGGGCAGCAGCTGTAACAGAAGCTGAAGCACCACTCACCAACGCCAGCCATGGGGAGAACAGCAGCAGCAGCAGTATTCGCCGTATTGGCAGCGAACAGTGCAGCAGTATTGGGTGTGCACACCCCTGTGCCGCCGCACAGCATGCCCTGACCACTCGCACTGCCGCAGATATCACACTCTGTCGCTCGCTGTGCCGTATCGCCCTGCTCGGTAGGAGTGTTGCAGGAGGTGGCGCTGGTGAAGCAGTTGGCAGCAGAGACGCAGGAGGTGGCGGAGTTGGCAGGGAAGGTGCCCGAGAGGAAGTTGTTGGAGAGGACGATTTCCTTGAGCGATGCTGACACCGGTGGCACGCGGTATGTCGGGTAGTTGTACGCCATGCTCCTGCGTTTGGTATATGGCGGGTCGTAAGGTAGTGGCATATTGTTTGGGAATGCTGTGTCACTTGGAAGCTAAGAAGCATGACCCAAACTATTCAAGAACTCGACTAGTATGAGTAGGCCCCACATTCTTAGGCATGTGTGGGAGATGGTTTAGCAGCAAAAGCTAGGGGGCATGAAGGATGAGGCGGCACTGACAAGCGGGTGAGTTTGGTCATGGCGAGGAGAGGCGGGGGTAGCGAGCCCTTGAACCAGTTGTAGTCCAGCAGGCTGGAGGTGGATGCACACAGAGGAACGTGAAGAGCGGATGAGGGACGCAAAGGGGTGCAGAGGGGTGCAGAGGGGTGCACATGTAAGACGGAGACCTGAAACAGACATCATAGAGAAGGACGCTTCTTCGGGCGTGGTCAGGTCGTACATTTGTAGTTCATGCTTCGTGGCTCAGGACAGTCCCACATGGTGGAAAGAGGTGTTTTATGTTCACAGTTTTAAGCCGTACGTCCTGACCACGCTGAAAGGGCAGCGTACTGAGGCTGGAAGCTGAACGCAGAATGATTGGTTCCTTGCTGAGTGCCTTGTAGATAACTGCGTACGTGGCCAGATGAGGACTGCAAGCCTGGCAAGTGGCGGCTTGGTTTGTAGCGGCAAGGATGGGGAATGCGAGGTGCAGAGGGAGTCGCAGCATTGGAAGGTTGGTAAGGGACTCACAGCACTGCCAGGTTGGTGAGAGCAGGAAGCCTCATGGAAAATTCTTCAAGGCGAGCCCTGAACATATTTGACTGCAGGTTGCTGTGAGGGGGAGCGCAGGGGGACACAGAGTAGGCATAAGGGAGGCACAGGAGGGGCATAGACGAGCCGCAGTGTGGGGCATGGGAGAGGAATCGAATATGAAGGGGGGGAGATAGAGTTGGGGAGGGGGCGCAGCGCAGGTTTGCATACGCCAAGGAAGAAGCTTGGGACGTCGGATGCATTGGTGTAGGCAGTTGCCCACATGTCTACATTGGTGTAGGTGTAGGAAGAAGCTTGGGACGTCGGAGCGTGTGTACGTGGAGTCCTAATCACAGTTGCCTGCATAACATATATCTGATCTGATTGATTTTTTTATGCAAATGATAACTGCATGCACCTGAGTGTGCACATGTATTCCTTCACATGCTTACGTGCGCTTGTATGCACGAAACATTGCGCACAAGCTTGAAAGTCCTGTGTACATGTGTGCATGTGTGCACTCACAGGTAAGTCAGCGCTGTGAGTTTGGTGAAATCAGCAGGGAGCACTCCGAACAGCTGCTGGTTGTTGAGAGTTTTGACACAGAGGGAGAAACAACGAAAGAGAAAATATGGAATGATCGAGCAGGAGTTGGAGTGAGAGGAGCTGGGAAGGAGTCAGAGGTGCCGAATTTAGGCAAAGGCACTCCAGAGCAAGCAGGGAAGGATAAGTGGAAAAGCAGTCATTGAAGGAGGGGGAAGGACCACTCAAGACATTGCGTTTCTCTATATTTAGCACTATTAAATAAATGTACTTTCCACGATTCATCCTAACAACATGCCCTCTTGATTCCTCACTACCTTCATGAGATTGCCAGCTTTTGAACAATCTGAAAAGTTGTTTGAGCACAACAACAGTGACACCATTACCAATACCTCCAGGCTTCATTTATCTACAAACGAGGGTTCAATACAACAAATAATCAAGTGCTCACATCTTGACGGGGTTGCCAGCTGAGTCACACTCCACACCCGTCAAGCTCCCACTCGCTACAGTGCCACCTGTCCCTGCCAGCGTGCAGACAGCACCTGCCGCCCACCCTGTGTGCGTCACTCCCAAGGCTGTCTTGATGCTCAGCAGCGCCGCCACTGTGGGTGGGGGAGTGGGGAGACAATGAAAAGAGAGGAGATTGAATTATAAGCTTTGAATAACCAGTGGGGGAGTGGCTGGTGAGCATCAAACGTGAGTGCGGAATGAGAAAGGAAGGTGCGGGACGTGCCATGCTCCCTGCGCCCATGCCTGTGCCCGTCTTTGGCCAAGCCCGTGTCATGCCCGTGCCCAAGCGATGGGGTGACTTACTGGCAGTAGAGTTGACGGGTACAGCCGGCAGCAAGGAGCACTCCATAGGGAGTGCAGGTGTAGAGGGGCTGTTGATCGTTGAGAGGGATGCGAGGGAAGCAGCTGTGGGCTGGCAGGTGGACGCACCACCGCTGCCACACAACACCCCCGTGCCATCGGCACTGTCGCAGATACTGCACGTGGCTCTCTGAACAGTCCCTTTGCCTCTGTCCGCCGTGCAAGCAGCAGCATTCGCGAAACAGTTCGTGAGTGCCGAGCAGGACTGCCAGGAACCTGTTGGGAAGGTTCCCACGAGGTAGTTGTTTTTGAGGTCCAGGTGCTTCAGGGAAGTGCCTGGCACAGGAACGCTCCCAGTGAGATAGTTGGAGCCCAGACTCCTGTGGGATGACGCATGAAGGAAAGGAAAAAGGTTGCTTCGAGATGAGTCTAATGGAACAGTAAGGCAGCATACTTCTGGTAGAGTAGGTGCAGGCCAGGCTCGTGCAGTATAATCAATGAGTGCATTCTGAGCCGACTCATATTGAAACAGTCGGCTTCCAGTAGGGTAGGTGCATCACGAATGGGTTTGTGAGAGGGAGATCATACCGAGAGGAAGAAAAGGCAAGCCAGGTGTGCGTGAAGGTAAATAGGGAGGCAAAGAGCTTGATGGGGTTGAGTGAGTGAAGGTCGAGGCAAAAGGATACTCAGAGGAAGGAGGTGAAGTGGCATGTGCAGATCTGGCATGGTACCAATGACACATTATGGTATGGTATGGTATGGCATGGCAAGGCATGACACACAATGGCAAAGAGGTGGCAATCTCACAGTGTGAATAGGCTCTTGAGACCGAATAGAGCCGAGGGGATGGGCCCAAACAGGTAGTTGTAGTGCAGTTGACTGCACGGCAGACATGGAAGAGGGTGGGGCGAACAGGTGGATGGGCAGGTGAATAGGGAAATGGATGGGAAAGAGCCAGGCTTATAATGGGAAAAGAATGAGAAACAGGGCGAGGGGGTGTGCTCCAGGTATTGCACTTTGCAGGGAGAAGGCCCATATGGGTGTGATGAGTGAAGGCTGGTGAGGTGCGACGTGCCTCATATGCAGGGAAGGAGAGCGCACACTGAATGTGCGAACAAGAGGCAAAACATCCAGTCCCTCCGGAGTCTGAGAGACACCGAGGAATGCCAGCTAAGAACTTCCTATACCCAGTTACATTTCTGTTATACACGCCATGCCTTTACAGGAAGGACAGGTCGAGACTACCATCCTTAGGAAGAATGTTTGAGCTAAGGACGTACAGATTCACTAGGCTGGAGAGAGCATTGAAGGGCGCAGTGAAGGCATCCAAGCGACCAGCCAAATAATTTGAGTAGAAAGCCCTGCGGAAAGGTGGGGATGGTCAGTGGGATGCGTGGGAGAGAAGGCACAGGGGTATGAGTTGCCGGAGCAGCATTATGTGGGAAGGTAGGAAGAGGAGAAGGCACGAAGAGGGGAACGCAGGAAGAAGAGAGGTACGGAGCGATAGGCATGTTAGGCAGCCTGGTTCTGCCGAAGGGTTGAAAATGGATGGTTTACAGTGAGCTTACCAGGTTACCAAAGCAGCAAGCTTACCAGTTTACCAAAGCAGTGAGCTTACCAGGTTACCAAAGCAGTGAGCTTACCAGGTTACCAAAGTAGTGAGCTTACCACGTTACCAAAGCAGTGAGCTTACCAGGTAAAACATACGTTCTGTAAAGATTATGATGTGTTTCTACAAGTCATTGGATAAACGGCACTTTACTGCTAGAGAATGGTTTTGTGCCTCCGTGAGGACCAACTTTTGAAACAGAGAGAAAACAGAACCCGGAGTCATATAAGTTGTTATACCACTTTTTATATATAATATTTTTATACTATAGCAGCAATATTTTGAAGCTTAGAACTTACAGAGTAATAGCGAGCAGTGGGTTTACAGAGCAGTGGGCTTACAGAGCAGTGGGCTTACAGAGCAGTGAGCGCAGTGAGCTTGGAGATATCTGCATGCATGGACCCAGCCAGCTGGCGCGTGTTGAGGTTGATCTCCACAACAGCACCGGCCGGGCTGCACAGCACGCCTCCCAAGTCCCTCGGGTGAGGGGAGGAGCTGCTGACTCCGGAAACAACAATGACCACCTTGCACAAAGTGTTCACACCCCAGTCAGGGAGAGGAACCCCCAGTGCCGCTTTGAGACTCCCAAGCACTGAAACTGGAGGGTGGGGGAGAGGCGCAGGGAGGACAGGAGGAACGGTGAGAAGCGAGTGGGAGTGGAGGGAGGGAAGATGCTTGAGGGACGTAACGTAACGAGAGAGGGAGTAGAGAGAAAGAGAGCAGCAAAAGTGTACAGTGGAAAACAAGGAAAATTGGATTCTGAATTTTATTTGGGCACCAGACGCACCTGCTGTGGCGTCAATGCGAACACCCGAGCACTGCATGGGCAGCAGAGAAGCAGAGGCATTATTAGGCGTGAGTGCTGCTACCGGCTCGGTAGTGTCAGGGGTGCACACCCCTTCATTGCACACAACCGCACTGGAACTCCCCAAACCACAGACGTTGCAGTCAGAGGCGACCCTCTGGGAGGAGGAGCCAGAGGCAAGGCACTTGGAGGAGTCTGCTAGGCAGTTGCTGCGTGCATCACATGCAGTGGTGGAAGATGCTGGGAAGGTTCCTGTGAGGAGGTTGGAGGCGACGTTGAGGGACTTGAGGGAGGCAGAGGGAGTTCCGGTGATGGGACCAGCGAGGTAGTTGAATTGCACGTTTCTGGTGAGGGGGGGAGGGGACAGGAAGGGCCGATGGAGAGAGAAAAGGGGGGTGAGTGAGTAAGGCAAGGCACGAGTAAGGAGGCACGCAGTGGAGTGGGGGCAGGGTGCCATAATTCGTGATTAAGGATGAGAAAGTGACGTGATGAACAATGAAGGGGGGGTGCATGTGTTTGATGACTTGGTTACACGACATTGTGGTGCTTACAGTGCTGAGACGGAGGACATAGTGAGGAGGAATGAGGGCAGAGGGCCGGAGAACCAATTGTAGTTGAGAGACCTGGAGGGCAAACAAGAGAAAGGTGACACAAGAAAATTCACACAAAAAAAGGCGACACAATTGAAAAGCCAAATGAGAATTCAAACATGAGAAAGGTGACAATACGATACGGGCACCTGCACGGAAGGACCCAATGCCTTTCCCGCTCAGATCGAGCTTTATCTGGTCTGGCCTGCCCTGCCTGGTCTGGTGCGCTACAACGCAGCAAAGAAAGCCTGGCGTGCAGAATGCAATGCAAGGGCGTTGGCCATGCCGTGTGGCGGAGGCAGGGTGTGCAGGCAGCGTGTAGGACTGACAGTTGCTTGAGTGCCATGAGGCCGGTGAGAGGCAGAGCCCACTCGCTCATGCGCGCATCCAAGAGGTTGGACGCCACGTTGCTGCGAGCATGGGGACATTGAGGCATGGAGGAGGCACGGGGCCAAGGGGACACAAAGAGGTGAGCGGAGGGGAATGTGGGGCGAGGGTTGGGAGTGGTGAAATGGGGGCTTCAAATGTTGTGAGGTTGAAGGGCCATGGCATGGTGTTAGAAAGCGGGGTGGAGAAGCATAATGCACATGTGGGGCATGACGGACATGTGGGGCATGATGGACATGTGGGGAATGACGGACATATGGGGCATGACGGGCATGTGGGGCATGACGGGCATGTGGGGCATCACGGACATGTGGGGCATGACGGACATGTGGGGCATGACGGACATGTGGGGCATGACGGGCATGTGGGGCATGACGGACATGTGGGGCATCACGGACATGTGGGGCATGTTGGACATGTGGGGCATGACGGACATGTGGGGCATGACGGACATGTGGGGCATGACGTACATGTGGGGCATGACGTACATGTGGGGCATGACGGACATGTGGGGCATGACGGACATGTGGGGCATGACGGACATGTGGGGCATGACGGACATGTGGGGCATGACGGACATGTGGGGCATGACGGACATGTGGGGCATGACGGACATGTGGGGCATCATGGACAAGTGGGGCATGACGGACTTGTGGGGCATGACGGACATGTGGGGCATGATGGACATGTGGGGCATGACGGACATGTGGGGCATGACGGACATGTGGGACATGACGGACATGTGGGGCATGACGGACATGTGGGGCATGACGGACATGTGGGGCATGACGGACATGTGGGGCATCACGGACATGTGGGGCATGACGGACATGTGGGGCATGACGGACATGTGGGGCATGATGGATATGTAGGGCATGATGGACATGTGGGGCATGACGGACATGTGGGGCATGATGGACATTTGGTGGGATGACTAACGATGGATGGAGGCTGGTCCATGTGTTGGTGAAAGCAGCAGCACTCACAGGCTGGTGAGTGCAGTGATCTTGGAGATGTCGCCATGCAAGCTGCCACGAAGCTTCATTTTGGAAAGATCCATGTTGTGACGTACCGTGCACAAAAAGAAAGAAGAAAGAGGAATCAACATGATGAGCAGTGGTGCTGCAGGCAGGGCAGCATGCTGCTGGATGGAGCATGCAAGGATGTGAGGTTGAATGGGCCTCACAACTGTTAGGATGAGGAGGAGTCAGTGTGAGAAGCGGCTTCTGAGCATGTGAGCATGGAGTATAGAGTGCAGAACGAAGCATTCGTTGATGATGACACTGTGATGGTGTCATGATGAGTGAAATACAGTCAGGACACTCTGAAAATTCCCCGGACGGCATGCTCGCGTCACGATGGCATGGACCCATCTAGCAAGGGGAGCACAGGCAATTCAGCACCATCTGAGGTAAGTTCGCATGACTCCCAAAATAGGTTGCACATAACAGATGCACATATCACACACATGCATATAGAACTTGCGCATATCATCTAAACAAGCACATACCATATGCACATATCACCCAAACAAGCATACATGACATGTATGTACGAACATAGCACATGTGCATGCACATGCACATAGCACACACATGAAGCAAACGCCCATATCCCATGCACATAGCCCAAGCACAGAGCCAACCACACGTATCCCCCCACACGCACAGGCTAATGACTTGGCCCGAGAGGTCGCAGACGACGCCCGTCCAGCTGTCCACCGTGGGGGCGTTGCCCGCCAGCATGCAGGGCGAGTCCACCGCCCAGCTGAGAGCAATCACGCCCAGCCCCGACCTCAGTGCCAGCAGCGCCAGCGCTGGGGGGGGGGGGGGGGGGGGGGGCAAGGGGGAGGAGTACGGGGGAGGAGAAGGGCCCGGTGGATTGGAGGAGACAGAAAGGAAGACAGTAGACAGGAAGGGATCCTGTGAGAGTAGTAACCCTGGCACACTCGTGCTGCTGCTAGATCTGACAGAGTGCTGATTCACACCCGTGCAGTCCAGCCCTATGAAACGAAGCAGTACGTTTCAACAATCTTGAAGTTCTATAAATGCCCACTCACCGGAGTTGTCATCCACTGGAACGGCCTCGCAAAACATTGCTGGGAGGGAGGCAGCAGGGGTGTTGAGAGTGCCGGCAGCAAGGCGAGCAGCGACATCGGGAGTGCAGGAGGTGCCCGCACAGAAAGGCGGGGCGCTCGTGGCGGAACCACCGGAGGAGGGTACACCTGCGCCTGGAATAAAATTATTGGCGAGATGTAGCAGTTGATCACCACTACTCTCGCGCCAGTCGCCAGGTGTTGCACCTCCCACTGCCTCAGCTTCTCTTTTATACGTGCGAAAGCTTTCTCCCAGGTGGGCACACAGCAGCCGGCCGGCGTCACCCATACTCCCAAAAATCTCTCCGCTTCGTCCGCCTTCACCAACTTGAAGCTGTCAGTCTTGCAGGCCTGCCTGTTCACGTTACACCCCAGAGGTAAGAGGCCAAATCGATCGTAATAGGTTGCTTCGCAACCCAAAAAAGCACCATCCACGGCTGGAGTATGTATCCACATCGTGCTTTCTCCCCTTCTTAGATTCCAGCGTATCAGCCGAGACTAGTATCTTACGCTGCCCTTGGCGAGTAGATTATATCATAGTTGGTTGTCTGCGTCTGCAGCATTTCTAGCAACAGCACCTTGAGGCTTGCGGGCTGCTGAACCCCCTTTCTCCTTTTCGTGCGCCCTCGTTGGTTTCTTTCTCTCCTTTTGTTTTTGTTTTTTGTTTTTGTTTTTTTAATTAGCTTTTACTCAAACTCTTTTACGGTATGCGCTCCAACCTTTCCGCGTGCGCCGTCTGTCATGTCCTGGTTACTGAATTCGCTCGTCGGCAGCCAGCAAGCCGACGACGACGACGACGGCGACGTCGACGAAGAGGAGAACGAGGAGACTCTTCTTCCCGCCGCGGGCTCCTCCGACAATCCCAACAGCCCCGACAGTGCAGCGCGGGACGCGGCGCCATCGCGGGGGGTGCGCGACGACTCACGGAGCTGCAGCAGTCGCTCACCAAGCACTGGCGGGGCGTCGCCTCCTTCCTCACGGGCGAGCCCCGCCGGCCCGCCTCCGCCCCTCAGCCCCCCGCCTCCGCTTCTGCTTTCGCTTCCGCCGCCGTTTCCGCCTCCGCGGACGACGAGGCGCCGGTGGATCCGCCAGCGCCGATGTCGCCTGAGGAGACGGCGGGACTGTCGCCCGACGAGGTGCGCGCGCTGCGATGGCGGCAGGAGTTATCGCGGCAGGCGGGGAAAGACAAACACAAGGAGAAAGGCCAAGCCGCCGCCGCCGCTGCGGCACAGCCGCCAGGCCGTGGGGGTGCCGCGGAGCGAGTGAGGGGGGAGCGGAGGGGAAGAGTCGGAGGAGGATGTGAGCGCGCGCCACGCGCGGCTGTCGGGGGTGCGCGAGGACTTGGCGGAGCTGTCGCAGCGCGTGAAGCACGGGCTGACGTCCGTGATCCACGTGGTGACGGGCGACGACGCCGCCGCCGTCAAGGGCACGAGGGCAGGCGGACGAGGAAAAGTGCGGCGGAGCGAAGGATACGACGACAGCGATGGAGCAGAAGACGAGGAGGAGAGAGGGGAGGAGGGGGAGGAGGACGATGAAGAGGAGGGGGATGAGGGGGAGGAGGAAGAGGAGGACGGGGGCGAGACGTTGTTAGAGGCGGCGCAGGAGGATATCAAACCATCTCCAGCACCCTCGCCACCGGCATCACGG